CTACAATTGGTCAAATGCATTGATACTCTCTAATCTAAAATAAAAGTAGTTGAAAAATATAAAGTTGTATTTGAGGGATTGGGAAAGTTTCCTGGGGAACCTTGTCACATTGAGGTAAAACCGGATGTTGCTCCTGTAATAAAAGCTCCTAGAAGAGTGCCTCAATCCTTATATAAAGAGTTAAGAAAATACCCTTAATGAATTAGAGAAGTTAGGCATTGTATCTGAAGTTAATCAGCCAACAGATTGGGTTAATAGTATGGTAGTGGTTGAAAAGCCTAATGGGAAACTACGGATATGCCTTGATCCTAGAAATCTTAACAAAGCGATAAAACGTGAGCACCATGCAATACCATCCGCTGATGAAATAATTAACAGATTAGAGGGAAAGCAATGTTATTCGGTATTTACCAGGTAACAAAATGTATGTTGCCGACACTTTGTCTAGAGCTTATGTAAAAGAAAAAGTTTCGGATGATCCTGAAATGTTAAACATGGTGCATTCAATTTCTAAAATCTTGCCAATGAGTGAAAGCAGGTTTAAACAATTTCAAAAAGCATCTGAAGATGATAAAGACTTTCAAAAGGGCTGGCCCGAAAAGAGAAAGGTACCTAAAAATTTGAAGCAATATTGCAAAGTTAAAAATGACATAATTTGTGCAGAAGGACTTTCATTTCTAAACGATAAAATTATTATTCCGAGTATATTAAGACAGGATATGTTAATGTTAATTCACGAATCTCATTTGGGTATTGCAAAATGTAAAAGTAGAGCTAGGGAATTAATGTACTGGCCAGGTATCAACCAAGATATTGAAACTATGGTTTCCAAATGCACCATATGTGAAAAATTTCAAAAGTCCCAGTGTAAAGAACCGCTCATTCCACATGAGATACCGATTCGCCCCTTTCAAAGAATTGGAATTGACATAATGTACTTTCATAATACAGATTATTTAGTATTAATTGATTATTATTCAAAGTGGGTTGAGACTATACCTATTCAGAATAAGACTGCTACCGAAATTATACTTAAGTTAGAAGACATTTTTTCCAGATTCGGAATACCGGAAACTATTATTTGTGATAATGTCCCATTTAACAGCCATGAGTTCAAAAGCTTTGGAAAGGGGTGGGACATTGAATTGATATTCACAAGTCCAAATTATTCACAAAGCAATGGGATGGCTGAGAAAGCAGTTGGGATATGTAAGTCTATCTTTAAAAAAGCTTTTGAAGATAATCGTAGACCTTCAGTGGGCTTATTAGAATACCGTAATACACCTATTTCTGGATTAGGCTTATCCCCTGCTCAGCTAATGTTTAACAGGCGGCTGAGAACTAAATTGCCCATTACCAGTAAACTTCTTAATCCTAAACTTTTTAAAGATATTGACATAGAATTGTTAAGGAGGCAACAGAAGCAGAAACACTATTACGATAAATCTAGTAAAATCTTGAAAGAACTTAAACAGGGAGATAAAGTTATTGTTCAAAATTTCAAATCCAAACTATGGAAACCAGCTACTGTAGTGGGTAAAACTAAAAGTCCTCGTCAATATGAAGTCAAAACAAACTCTGGAAGAACTTTAATAAGAAATAGGAGATTTCTAAAATTGTCTAAATCATGCAATGAACATTGTGGTAATACTGCCAGTCATTATTATGATGATCTTGATGAGTCTCCAGAAAATAAATGTACGATCGTTACTAATACAGTTTCTAGATCAGGGACTGTGAATGGACCAGGCAGTAGTCGTATAAGACGACGACCTCAATATTTAAATGATTATGTATGTGTTTAATTTACTATGCTTAATGGGATTACTCTTTATGTATTGAATTAATTTGATAAAATTTAAAAAGGGGGGTGTGATATTACAACTTCAACTGCACTTGCTGGATTGATGTATACAAGATATAACAACTACAACTTCAACTGTACTTGCTGGATTGATATATACAAGATGTAACAACGTGCTTCATGTTTCAGGCTAATAATAAATACTAATCC